CAGCTTCAGGTTGAGCCGTTGTTCAGCATCTTAGCTGTAGAGGGCAGTGTCACTGGCCCTCATATTTGGGATCCGAACCGGGGCCCTCTGGTGTCCCAAGCCAGTTCTTAACCAATGTGCCATTCGGCCGGCCCTGATGCCCCTTCCTTTAAATTATTGAAGACAATAATCTTTCACATTTTCTTGAATCAGAAAGTGTTATTGACACTTTGCAAATATATCATTTTTGGCTGGAGCCTCTAGAATTCATTTATTCATTAAATTAAAATTTTTTATTGCAACCTATATATGTGATAATAGAAAGAAATACAAGGCCCTCATTACCAGGGAACTTGCATCCTAGAGAAATTTGAAGCCAATCTCTGAGATACAGAGAAGATTGAAAAAATACAGAGTTTGGGGGAAAGATCGTATTTACTATTCATCTTTGATCTGTTTCGTTTGAGGTATATTTAAAACATCCTAGTGGAGATTTTGAATATCACCTTGTGTCTGGAATTCAGAGGAGAAGCATAAGCTACACATAAAAATTTGATTGACTGCCACAGAGATAGTTATTGAAACCAGGATGTGGATAAGAAGGCCTATGGAGATGCTTAGAGCATCCTTTCTCAACTGGGGTTTTATTACTTTTGGGGTTTTATTTTTGTTTTGTGGCATTTAGTTTCCTCTGTTAAGTTTGTGTTGGGACATCTGTTTGACATGGGTCAAAATTTTGAAAAAAATAGTCAAGATTCAAAACATCAAGGAGAGTTGGAGTGAACCTGCCAAAGAAACCTAGGAATCCTGAGTAGTCCTAAGGATCAATTTGAAGTTGGTGCTCATGAGTTTATGATATTAACCTGCTTGGTTAGTTCTGCTTGGCAACTGTCTGTAGTAGTGCATTGTTGCTCAGGTAAAACAGACAAAGCAGATATATGGTAGAATACATCCAAAGCTGAGATTCTGCCAAAAGAAATGTAATAAAAGGAGGGGTAAGTGAATTTCAAGTTTTGGCAAATAAAAAATGATATGTAATGTAAGATGCATAAAAAAATAGTGTGTGAGATGAACATAGATTTTTATAAATTATATCTTTTTTTATGTGTATAAATAAGAACAATTGTGACCTTAGGTATAACTGCTTTAAGTATAGTCTTAAACATGCTAATTTTTATGAGGATATTTTCTGAAGATCTCTGGAAAGGATAAGCAGATCAAAGACCTACTAAGCTCCAGATACCATGTTAAGCACTTATTAAATAAGATGTTATAAGTATCTCAACAATATAAGTAATTATTAATCCCCATTTTATTTATAAAGAAACAGTTGCAAGGTCATTGATTATTTACCTTATGTTACATAGGAAGTAAGAAGGAAAACAGATTTGTCTCCAAACCCTTTGCTCTTTCCACATTACCTTCCTCCCTTTTAAAGAGATCTTACATCAGAAGGGAATTATGTTAGTCATAGTCAACTAGGTTGGCATATATTAATACAGAGCATGTTAGACCTTCTGAGTAACTTTATAATCATTAAAGACATTCTTTTGTCCAAGAACCAGTAGATTTTTTTTGAGAGATTGTTTTTCTTTCTTGTGTAGCTTGTGTATCAGTCCATCATGCATCTTTGGATCAGTTTAACACTTTCAGTTCTTTCAAATTAAATTGCTTTAGGGTGAATTAATAGGGAATATTTTTTTTGTTTTTTAAAAAAAAAAGACTACATATTTAGGAACATCTCTACCTGTTTCACAGCTAGCTGGTTATTTTTATCAAGCACTTCTGGTAAGTGCTAAGTGAATTATGCACTCTTAATCCCTTACCTTTTATATTAAAAAGAAAACACTGAAGTTTCAGACATAAATTGATATAATACTGAGTAATTTGATGGTAGTGCTTTTCTTCAGATTCAGTATTGCCTCATTACAAATCATTAATTTTTGATTCATGGGGAAAGTATTTTCGAGATAGATATATAAAAGTATTCTTTTCGATACATATGCATATATATATCTACACCTGTATTTTACTAATAAAGTATATTAAGAAAAAGACATTTGAAGACTCAAACTTCCAAAGTTGAAGGAACAACTTATTTATTCGATTAGGTACTATAAAACAAATCAGGTCAACAAAACACGGAAGTAGATGTCCGTAGAAACAGATGTCCTGATGACAACTAACTTATTTCCTTCCACAAGTTATTTGTGTCTTACCTTTTGTAATGGCTGTATAACCTGGAAACCATATGCCATCCGATTTCAAACTGGCAAAAAAAAGCATTTTTGAGATGTTTTATTTCAGTGTGCAATGTTAGAATTTTAGAAATTCTTATTAGAATTTCTTACAAGTCAAAATAAAAGACTAAAAGACTTAATTTAAAGAGTACAGTTTTATTTTTATACATACACTAAGCCTGTTAATTGTATGTGACTTATCAGAATAACATGCAAAGTAATACAGAGGTGCAGAGGTAAGTAGTCTGCTGTCTTGTCTGAAACATAGCTTATCAATTTCCAATATGATGTGGTTGTTTATATAGTAAAATTATTTTAAAAACTGGCATGTTTAGCTATTTTATCAACCTTTGTAGATTTGTTTTGTTAAAACATATTAACATCTTTCTCTGTCAGTTTATTTTTACCACGTGCACATTACTTAGATGTATAAAAATTATCGGTCTTTTATATATTTTTCAAAAAATATTTCTTATTTAATTGGATGAACCTTAATTACAACTTCTAGCATTGCATTCAAGAAGACTGCATCTCACCTTGTTGACATGCATTTTTATGTTTTTGTTATCATCCCCAAATTGGCTTCATGTTTAAATTAATATTCTTTATAGTATTACTAAAAATGGTCCACCAGTACATTATCCAAATTAATTGATAAAATACTTGGATTTGACTGTTACATGTCCATATATTTTTTAATTTAATAAAATATCTTTTTCTTTGTAGGCACTTTGCTTAATGGCGTTACCATTTATTCCTGCATCAAACCTTTTTTTTCCAGTTGGATTTGTTGTTGCTGAGCGAGTATTATATGTTCCTAGCATGGGATTCTGTATTTTGGTAGCCCATGGATGGCAGAAAATATCAAATAAAAGGTGAATTTAGATATTAATTCATTTAATGCTTACTAACTAGAGTATCAAATATGATACATTTAAGTATTTTAAATGTTTATGTAGTTCAATTTTATAAGTCAAACTTTTATACTTTCTGTTTTTCATCTTGATAGTCTCCTCATTTTTCTGTAATTCAAGTTAGGAAAGCTCCATAGCACCTACCACATTTTATGTTCTTCATATTTATGTAATTTTATTTTACAGCCCAAGACATAACATGCTTTGAGTCAGACCCAAATGCAAAGAAGGATATGTAAAATGTATATAGTAAGCAGTCTGTAATTTCTTGCTGTTATTACTATCTTCATCATAACCATTGTGTTCTAATTTCCTTAAACTAACACTTAGGAACAGAATAGTCACACTTATGTGTACAAGAAATGGTCACTGCCTCTTCTTACTCACTTCCAGTCACCCTTCAACCCACAGATTTCTGACTTCTCTCTGTGTCATTTACTAGCACAGATAATAAACTGCCTCCTAGGAGCTAAATCTAGTCAATGCTTTTATTTAAAATTGATTTCCCTGGCATCTGTAAAAAGTCTTGATTCTCTTTCACATCTGTTCATTTCTGCTCTAAATATTCCCTGATTCTTCTTGCTACTCACTAAATTTTTCTTTTTTTTTCTGAGTTTTACTCATAGTCATTTTCCCCACATTGCCTATTCTCCCTGAATGATCTTATCTGTGTCTAGAATTTTCACTATCTACCAAAACTTTTCTCTCAGCTTCTACCCATATCTCCATTTATAATCACTACCAGTATTTGAGTGCCTACCAGACCCTTTAGATTTGTTTTCTCATTCAATCTTGACACTCCTTAACTCTATTTTGCAGATTTTTAAATTGAAATTCACATAGGTTACCTGAATTTTATAAGAATACACAGCTACTGAATGGCCGAGTCTTAATTCATATATGCATCTACATCCAATGGCCATGTTCTTTCTGATTTGTTTACTATTATCCTGGTTAAGTGGAATTATCAAAATGAAAGAAATTGTGAACAGTGTTGCCAGGATAAAAACACAGACTCAGAGAACATTAGTACTAAATGAGATCACAGGGATTATTAAAGTATAACCATCTTTTTTTGTCCATCTTTTTTTTGTTTTTGTTTTTGTTTGTTGTTTTTTTTTTTTTTTAAAGATTTTTTTTATTGGGGAATTGGGGGGATGGGAACAGTGCTGGGGAACTGGGGGAAGGGGAACAGACAAGTTGCTGTCATTTTGTTCTTCAGTCTAGTTGTGGAGGACGTTGCTTCACTGGCCCAAGTTGGCACCATCATTGCGCTCTTCCTGGGTGAGGCACATCAGTCGCTGGCTTCTGGACGGCCGCTCACTGCGGCTGCTGGCCACTCATGCTGGCTGCTGGCTACACACGGTAGCCCATGGCAACCCACTGCCACAGGGGCTGCAGCCTACGCCATCGCCGGTGACTCACAGCAGGCCAGCTCCCGGTTGAGCTGTTGTTCAGCATCTTAGCTGTGGAGGGCAGTGTCACTGGCCCTCATATGTGGGATCCGAACCAGGGCCCTCTGGCGTCCCAAGCCAGTTCTTAACCATCGCACCACTCGGCCGGCCCTAACCATCTTTTTATAGATGAGGAATTGAGTACCAAATAATTAGCCTAAAGTATATAAGTAATTTGTAACTATTTTATAAAGAGTTAACGTTTACTGTGCTTTTTAATAATTCTTGCTTTAAAATGTAAAATTTTAAGTGTCATGATAATCTGTGATATGTAATTGTAAGCAGAAATGTTTTTAAATGTAGTCAGTGATAAGATTCACTTCATAAACATAAGTAAGAATACTCAAGTTGTAGGTAATGGTACAAAGGATTCTAAATGTAAAAAGGCACTATTAAAAGCTGGTTTTATCAATTTTTTCTTATCAACTCTAATAACAAAGGAACTTTTGAAATAGAGGCAAATATTGGAATATTTAATGAAATTGCAGACTGAAGTGAAAGGTAGTATTCATAATATTTAATTTTTTGGTGGTATTCTCTCTGAAATGGATGATTATTAGAACAATCCCTGTGTTTAGAATAAATTCAAACATGACATTTGGGGATATTTAATATATTTCTTAACTTCACTTCTGAAAGGTAAAATGCTTTTGGTGATATAGACAATTTGTTTTTTTGTTGTTTTTTTTCTCAGTGTATTAAAAAAGTTATCCTGGGTTTGTCTGTCTATGGTGATATTCACTCATGCCTTAAAAACACTCCACAGAAATTGGGATTGGGAGTCCGAATATACGTTGTTTATGTCAGCTTTGAAGGTAAAGTATTATCCAGAATAACAGGAAAGTACATCATCAATTTCTTTTTATAGCCATGCCTAAGATGTTTTAACTTTCCTTTTAATTAGACATGTAACTATCAATATTAAGTACTTCACCAAAAGAAGAATAAAAATAATTTTTCTTTATGTAATATATACCATAATCAGTGCTCTGACTAGTACTTACCTGTATGTCCACAGCATATATGAATAATTCCCTAATTGCTATACAGTTGTTAGAAGCTCAAATGATAAAATGTTTAAATAAGAATACTATTTTTTATTGGTTCTTAAGGTACACATTTTTTAACCTTTTAACAGTGCTGAAATTAGAATAAGTCCTACAGTGAAAGGCATCTTATAACTGATTAGTGACCCTTTTTTCTATCTTAATGGTATGTAAAATAGTGGTGAGTCTTAATAATTGATGGCACCTTAGATTCAATGAAATAAAATACATGGAAAAAATGACACCCTACTATGTGGAAGATAACCAACCAATGGTTATAATACTATAGGAAAGATAGGAACTGGAAGAAAGGAGAGATCCAGCATTTCTATGGAATGGACAGCATAAATAGGAATAAGTTCTTTTTAAAAATCATAAAATTTGTTTTCTAGTTACAAGCAAAGATTTTTTTTTTCAGGTGTTCCCTTAACTAATACCTCTCTTCAGATCTCTAAATCTTAACTTCCTTTTGACTATTTCTCTACTCTCCATTGCCTAGCTTAACTGGATCACTGCCTCACGGCAGTGGTCTGTGTGACTTCTTAATTTGATATCCACTTCAGATCAGGTGACTGTCCTCTTGTACCACTCAGTAACTCCATTGTCTCCCCTAGCTCCAAAGTCTGCGAACAAATGAGCCTTCATTCCCATTCTTATAAACCACACTCCTGAAATACTGATGGAGCCCCATAATTTTCAGGATTGTTGCTTGTCCTGACTCCCAGGACAATACTTAGAACCACAGCCCCAGGCCCTGCAGCTAGTTCCTTGGCTAGGTGCCATCCTCTACCATCAGGAGCACCATGCCCATCTGTGAACTCCGAAAGCACAGATCAACACACAACTTTAATCCCAGGATTCTCATTACCATAATAGACTACATAATTAACTTTATTGGAGCCTGAAAATAAGTAATTAGTGCAATGTTTATATATATTTTCATGTTCAAATACCTTTTTTCCCCAAAAGAATGTAAGTAGCAGAGCAGGAGTTTTCAAACAGCACTATGCTTTGATCAAATAAAATTTTTTGTAAAATTGTAGTATATAAAATAGATGAAATCAGACTGCTTTGGTTTTAGTGTGTTTGTGTTAAAAGGAAGGAGAGAGTAAATTTGGTGGAGAAGTGTTCGTTGGCTCCTTTCTCATCTCCAGGGATATCTCCGTAGAACATTCCATTCCAGTCGCATACCACACAAACATGTATGTTAATTGGAGTCATTTTTTTTTTTTTCTGGGAGAAAATCCAAAGTTTTTTTTTTTCTGTTTATTGAGATGCAATTGACATAAACTTTGTAATAGTTTAAGGTAGATAACATGATTTGATATTTGTTTTTATTATTAAATGATTACCACAATAAGTTAACATCAATCACCTCACATAGTTACAATTTTTTTCCTTGTGATGAGAACTTTTATGATCTCTATTCCCAATTTTGAAATATACAATACAGTCCTGTTAACCGTAGTCGCCATGCTGCACATTCCATCCCCAGGACTTGTGTACCTTGTAACTGGAAGTTTGTACTTTTTGACCAACTTTACCTATTCATGGACATCTCCGTGGAACACTTATTCCTAATAGAATATCAAACAAATATCTGTGTTAATTGGAGTTGTATTTTTAAAACTGTAACTGATTTATACCTGTACTTGTATATTTAAGGTAAATAAAAACAATGCCAAATTATGGAATAATGTGGGTCATGCTCTGGAAAATGAAAAGAACTTTGAGAGAGCTTTGAAATACTTCTTACAGGCTACCCATGTTCAGCCAGGTAAGCATTATTAATTAGTAAAATTATTTGAAAAAATGTTCTTTTTAAAAACATGATTATATTTAAGAAAAATAAGGTAGAGCTTATTTTCAAGCTTTATTTTGAGTGATTTGAATACTACCAGTGTTCCATGCTGGCTTATTTTGAATTTGATTAGATGCTAAAAACTACTTATATAAGATATTTAGGGAATTTTTTTAAACGTAGCAGAGTTGTTGAGTGGCACTGATGAGCAATTCTGGTGGAGTGATAGATGCAAGAGCCTGATGCAAGAGAGTTTGGACAGTGGGGGAAGAATGATTGGAGGCAATTGGTAATGAAAACTTTTTTAAAGGGTATTGATAAATGGTGGCGGTGCTGGGTATGGGATCACAAAAGGGTAGTATGGTGGTAGTGGTATTTTGTTTTTCGTTTTAAGATTGGAGAAACAGCATGTGTGCAGCTAATCTGTTGAAGCTGGGAAAGTAGTAATTCCAGATGTGGGGACTAAATACTGGATCCCTGTCCTTGGATAGATGAGAAGAGATAAATAGGTTCTGGTGCACAGGTTGAGGACTCCATTTAGTCGTAGAACCGATAGTTATCCTGTGGTAACAGGAAAGACACAGTATATGGACATGAAAATGGGCAGGTGAATAAATGACATGGAGAAAGCTTCTGGGTTTTGCCCTCTGTTTGCTTGTGTTTTCTCAGTGAAGTAGAAAGCAAAGTCGTCACAAACCTTAACAAGGTCACTTGGAGACCTTGTTAAGGGGTCTGTTCTGATACATAGAGGTTTAGAGTAGGACCTGAGGTTCTACATTTCTAGTAAGTTCCCATGACGCTTAGCCCACGGATCCCACTTTAGTAGACAAAGATGTAGGAAAGTATACAGACATGGAAAATGGTATAATTGCCAAGCAGCTCTAATACCCTACTTGAGGTTAGGAGTACTTAATTTAAAATTAAACCAGTTGATGTGGTTATGTTTTTCTCCTACGACTTTATAGCTGTAGTGGTACAGGCATGGATCATTCAATAAAACAGGATTAGGATTTTGTCGGATGTGTGTTACTAAACAAGAAAGGGATAAAGGAGTGGTTGTAAAACGGAACACAGAATCTAAGCTGGTTAAGGAGGCTTGTGAGAGAGGATAAGGGATGAAGAAAAGGTGACAGGATCAGTGGTTTATAGATCTGAAAAATGGTTGGTGTTTGAGTAGAGTCTAGAGTGTAAATTTGAATAGGAATGCTGTTGGCATTTCAAGTGTGCAGAATTGTATTTTAGGACATGTGCCAAACGTGACCCCCACCCACCAAAGCCATCATTACTTTCCATTCAGAATAATGACCAAAATTATTACCACACACACTTTTCTAAATATCCTTGGAGGAGTGGGGAGTAGCAGACACTGTTCCCTATTTTTCTATTAGATGTGACTATATCCATTAAAGTAACGATTTTAAGGAAGATGGAGGTAAAAATCTTTAGAAGAAAAGACATCAAGACCATGTATTAGAAGATCCATCTATGTAGATTTTAACATCACTAAGAATTTTGGAAACTTTAATGTTGGAGAAAATGACAAGGATCTGGGAGTTATGACTCAGAGATCTCGTGACTGCCACAAGGCGGGATAGTGAATATAGAGTTTAATGACCTGAAATTCAGAGAAAAGTGATTGTTAAGATGGAAGGAGGAGGGAGGATCCCACAGCGGCAAGAATCCTGGAGGACACCTAGCCTTCCTTCAGGCCCAGAGCTAACACGGGAGGAAAGGACACCATCATCACTTGGAGGCGCTACAGTGTGACCCATGTTCCGGAGGCAAAGCCAAATTTCAGTTACAGAAAGGTGAAGAGAATGTTCTAGAAATAGAAATGATGGTCTGGCTTCCCAGGTTTTATCTCCTTTGGCTCTTCCTGTAATTTAGTTTCTCTAGAAATATAGGGTATGTGTCTTGGGTTTCCTCACCTCTTTGCCTCTGTTCATGTTCTTTGAGCCTAGAATGTCCCCCTCCCCCCTTCCTTCCCGGGAACCCACCTTCCACCATATCCTCTCCATTTCACACAGCTCAGCTTACCCGGCTTCTTTTCTAAAAAACCCTCCACCTTTCCAGTTAGAAACAAGTATTTCTCGTCTTTAAAACTTCTTACAACTTCTTGTGTATCTTCCCTTTGATATATGCAATTTTCTATTTAGTACTATGTCCTATTTATTTATTTAAAAACATTTATTTATTTAAACTGAGGCGCTCCCTCGGGGCAACATGAGCATCTTACTCATCTTTGCATTCCCTGCATCATCCAGCATGGTTTTACCCACAGTCTGCACTCACTGGTACTTTTAATTCATTACTTTCTAAAGCCTTAGATTCCTTCTAGGAGTTTTTGGGTAAGCAGAGTTATCTTTGATGTCAGACACACAGGGACTTTGAGACTTAGAAGACATTATTTAAGCCTCTTCAGCCTTATCGTTCTCATTTCTAAATTGGGACAGCATTGTTTTAAAGACTAAATTAAATGGTGTGGGTGAGTGTATATGTATGTGCATGTTTAATTGTATCAAGTGAATAGTGTACATATCACAGGATGTTGTCAGGTATAGGCACTTAGTTTTAAATTTACATATTTTTCCCTATATTGTCAGTCGTCACTTTTTGCTGTTTTTGAGATACTTGCTGAACTGTCTCCTTTAGTATGACTTCCCTACCTTACTCTCAAAATTGCAGTTTGTAATCAGCCATAGACTAGGACAACAGGTAGACCAGTTTATTACAATTTATTATAAAATAGTACATAAACTTAGAAACGTTGAATTTGGCATTCAGAGTCATCTTGGATTATTCTTTGTTTTTTAGCTGTGTTCTTCATAGATAGATTTGACAGATGAATGACACATAGGGAGGGAAATCAGGAGTCCTTTTTCGTCCCTGTCAGAGACTCAGATGAAGATAGATTTATGAGTCTGAATACAGGGAATGGTCAGGATTAGAGATAAAAATTTGGAGTAAGAAGCAGAGAGATGCTATTTAAACTCCTGAAACAGTATAGCATCACATAGAGTAGGGATTAGCAACATTTTAAAGTTAACTTAAAAAAAATAAAAAAGAGTTCAGTCTAAAAGCTTTCCTTGAATAGCCAGAATTAAGAATATAAACTACAGTCTTCTTTAACCAGGTAACATGCATATCATGTTAGATGAACAACTGATTGCAGTATTTTTTGTTTTGATGATGTTTATAAAAAACCCTAATTCACAAAGATAAAATTTTGCAATTGGAATTACAGCCCATAAATACTTTTGCAAGAAAAGAGTAGATTTTTCTCAAGGAACACCAGACTTTCCAAGTTTTGTTTTTGCCCTAAAGTCAGTAATTTCATTTTTAATCCAAGTCCAAATCTTTGAAACTGTTTATATCAGAAAAGAATCATGAGCCTGTTTTTCAGCTTGGATGCCAGTGAGATGGAAATGACTTTTAGAGAGTTTTTAGGAGTTTCCAGGTGTTTATAAATTATTCTTTTAAATTAATTGATAGATAATGTTTTGTGTAAGAAATACTGGAAAACAACATAGATGCCTAAGCCATCAATGTGGGGATACTCAACTTCACTGTTGGTGGCTGAAGAATTATTAGGCAGAGTTAGTTGCCTGATAACTTGCCAGTCCTCGTTTACATGGAATTAAATACAGACGGCTAGATTCAAGCTGCTGTTGGTCTGGATGGTGCACTCAGAATAGCAGGATTGTTCTTTGAAATTTGTTGCTGCTTAGTCATTTAAATGTCATTGGTTTTTACATCTTGCCTGCTTTTCTTACTTTTTTTTTTTTTCCAAATTTAAATTTACCTTAGCAGTAATGCTGTTTCTTCCTGTGGAATCCTAAAATTTTGTAACTTTAAAACAAATTGCTTAAAAATTATGACTTTCATTTTATTGCCTATATTGTGTGCATTGCTTTTGATGCTAACGGCTATCTAATTGCTGTCTTTGTTCCTTGAAAAAGTTGGGCTGCCTTACTCTAGTGTCTGAAGTCTTCATTGATGACAATATCCTTGCCATAATTCTGAGATTTTTATTCCAGTGGGTAGTAATTTTCCTCATCTTTCATCCAAATAGATAACCTCTTCTGTAAGATTGGTTGGGATTGATTTCAGAAACATTTTAAATACTCAACTGACATAATCATACTTTTATTTAAACTTTAATTTTGGGGGGGGTGGAGGGGCGTTATATGTCCTTCGTTTTTCCTAAGTAACTTTCTGATCTTTATAGTAAATGGTATAAATTTATCTAATGTTAAAAAAAAATTGAGCTGTATAAGAGCAAAGAGTATACCTACTCTATTTTTATATGCACTTGTTAATGCAATGAATTTCAGCCTTGGCTCTACATAAAATTGCCTTTTAAACTTTTTAAAAACATTTTTGTAATCCGATCCCGGAAGATTCTGCTTTGGTAGAGGTGGTTGGGCTAAGGTATCTTAATTTTAAAAAGCTACATAGGTATTCTGATTTGCAACCTAAACATTTTTAGTTAGGATAAACATTTTTTTTTTTTTTTTGCTTGACCCCTCCTGAGACCTCATGACTTTCAGCAATACATCTAAAAACAGAAATCAACCTCCTTCCCCACCCAACCTTGTCTCCTGGTTCTCTAAGCAACTGTGTAGTGCATCTGACAGTTTTTGTGCAGTGCACACAGTTGCCAGCCTGAAACCTAATGTAGCAAGATCTTAGGACTGTTACTCTCCTCCTAGGGGAATGCCTAAGATCTATATGCTTGGCCCCCATGTGTCCTGGGAGCTGCAGGCAGACAACTATTCCACAATCGCAAAATCATCGGTGTCGCAGGCAAGTAGTAATCACAATTTGAAATCTTGTCATGTCTGTGAGAGATTCATGTTGCCTAAAATTTGTCTCATTTAAGATCTTCTCCCTTCTTTCTATCTTTATTCCAAATCTTTGAAACATTTACTGGGAAATTTATCTTAAACCCTTGTGTCTTTCTTATTTAAATTGCACATTTTTCTACCCCTGAATAAATTTGCTGAGGATTCAGTTTTCCATATCAAAATGAGACAAAAGTTCCGGAAGTTTGGATATTAACACATTTTTTAAAGTTTAAAATAAATTATACAGGAATTTATCATCATTTAAGAGAAATGGGCTACTGCATATTAAGTAATATTATAGAATCCTGATATTCCATTATGTTTGCATTCCAACCACATTCACAAAAATTTGAAAAAACAAAATCACAAAGTTTTTTCATATCTCTTTGCCCCTGTCGCACCATGGGTGTGAATTTGTTACAACACTTGAAATAATTCTAGGAGTTTTGATGATTCTTTTTTTTCTTTCTTTCTTTCTTTTTTACTTATAGATCTTTTTCACTTTTAGAGTTGGGCCATACTTTTTGAATGAGTTCCACAGCTATGAGGTTAAGAAAATGGAAGGAAACTTTAGATAGTCAAGTATAGTGAAGAAAAATGATGTAAATTTCTTTATTCCCTCTATTTCTTCCCTCTCATGCCTTAACCTTTCAAAGGTACATTCAGATAGCTTTTTCATGTTATATATGTATTTTTTGTCTTCATAGTACTTTACTTAATAATTGGCTAGTGTTGCGTTCATTGATCCTAAGTTATAGCAAGTTGTGTTAGAAGAACTTTATAAGGAGGAAGCAGGACCTGTTACCTAGTGTTGCTAGAAACATGTCTTCTTAGTAGTTTACATTGAATCCTATTGAGTATTTTTGCCAACAAATAATTTCTTTAAAATTTTAGATGATATTGGTGCCCACATGAATGTAGGAAGAACTTACAAAAATTTAAATAGAACCAAAGAAGCTGAAGAATCTTACATGATGGCTAAGTCGCTTATGCCTCAAGTAAGTTCTCATCATTTATCCCTATTGTGTCATGTCTACTAGATATCCACATTGAATAGAATTATCTAGATGGAAAAATCCATATCTTTTCTTTAATTTATTGATATAACAGTAAGGCATCTAATGAACCATCTATTAGTACAAGTTTTATAAAGGATTACATTTACTTTTCTAGCTTAATTAAAGTTTTTTATAGTACGTTTATAAAAACTAAATCCATAAAGTTAGGAATTTTAAATATTCTTGGTTACAAGTTATCACTGACTTAAATGACTTTAAATGAAGAGAATGTTATTTATGTACATTAAGCACTAAGTTCAACATTATTCCTACCAAAAAAACAAATGAATAAAACAATGTAGATACATCTCTGTTGCTATGTTATGTCCGCTGTTGTTATGATACAAGTACAAGATCCTTTGGCTATCACAATACGGTGTCAATGTTGGGAAAGCTGACCCTGCCCTTAAGCAGTTATGCATCATCAGAAAAGATAAGTTTACCCTGGGCTACAGTTTTCTCAAGTGTATATGTTAACACTATACTAATAAGAGTAGTGATATTAAAATGATTGGATAGTTTGATAAATGTTTTAGAAACAAAGTTGAACCACTTGATACCTTAAGAATTATTTCAGTCCTAAGATTCTAATGTTAAATTGTGTTCAACATAGATTTTTATCAGATGCAATTTATCATGTGCATTGAAAATTTGGGTCCATCTACATTATAACTTTTACTTAACCTGAATGACAGTTAATAAGAGAATCTTATTTCCTAACTCTATCAACAAGTGAGGTTTTACAATAGCATAACTCTGAAATAAAATTAACTACCCTGTTGTCACAACCAGGAGATATTTTTCTGACAACATGAAAGTTGATATGTTGTAACAAATACACTAGATTGAGAGAAAAGAGTCCTGAGTTCTATCCCTGGGCTGATGTAAAACATACTAAGAGACCTTAGCCTCGAAAAGTTCTTATTTATATGACTTTATAAAATGATACATGTAAATAAAAAGCTAATCATATTCTGTTGAATTGGCATGAATGAAAAAATATATCCTTCAGTGTCACAAAATGTTATTTGATTTACATTTTGTGAATACTATAGATGCTTTCACATTTTTATGGTTTATTTTACTATAGCAGTAAAACTATTATACTAGTATTATGTTTTCCCCTATATGTTAAATAAGTTACTTGCCCTACTTGACTTTTATTTGGTAATGAAATATCAAATTATGGCAATGCCTTTTCTTCTGAACAGGTTATTCCTGGTAAAAAATACGCAGCCAGAATTGCTCCCAACCACCTAAATGTTTATATCAATCTGGCCAACCTGATCCGAGCAAATGAGTCCCGACTGGAAGAAGCAGACCATCTGTATCGACAGGCAATAAGCATGAGGCCCGACTTCAAGCAGGCTTATATTAGCAGGTACCGTAGTTCACTGGAAGCCATCATCATAGAAAATCAAAGCTACATCTGTATGTACATTTTGACTATTCTGACAAAATTGGCTTTTTTTTCTCAATAATCTTAGTTTGACAACCAAGAACATAGAAGAAACATAGCCTGTTTTAGACTAACAGTCAAATTTAATTAATTTGATTTGAAATTGACTAGGGAGTCCATAACTTATAATAGCAAACTTTAAGTTTTATGTGAAAGATTAGAAGAATCTCCTTCTTAGCCTCATATGCTTCTCATCACCAAATTCGTTTTATTTAAAACTCCTGAAGCTTACATTTTATAGTAAGTACAACTATCCAAATCTCAGGAGCTTCCTTAAATAAAACTGAGAATTTACTGGTTATTGATGCCTTTATCACAAAAAAGCTTTTTACAATAGTTGTCAGTAAAAAAAAAAAAAAAAATTGGGGGGTTGGGGGAGGTCGTTCGAGTGGCTCAGTTGGTTAAGAATTAGCTTAAGAGTGCAAGCTCTGAGCAACAGAGCCGCCGGTTCGATTCCCACATGGTCCAGTGATGCTGCGCCCGAGCTGAGCTGCCAACAGGTGGCAGGATGGCTCAGCTGGTGAGAGCACATGCTCCTAACAACAAGACTGCCTGTTCGATGGTGGGCTACGCCTGCCTACTACTAAGACTGAACTCCGCACCTTAAGCTGAGCTGACACCTGGATGGCTCAGGGGATACAGCATGTGCTCTTAACAAGGCTGCTGGTTCGAATCCAGCATGGGATGGTGGCCATGTCCACCCACAACTAAGACTGAACTCAGCACCTTGAGCTGAGCTGCCACCCAGATAGCTCAGTGGATAGAGCGTGCACTCTTATCAACAAAGCAGCTGGGTTCGACTCCTGCATGGGATGGTGGCTACGCTCACCCACAACTAAGATTGTAACACAGCACCTTGAGCTTAGAGGCCACGAGCTACCGCTGGGCAGCCAGATGGCGACTGGAGCCCTCCACAACTAAGATTGAAGAACAACTTGGCTGGTCCCCCTCCCCAATTCCCCAACACTGTTCCCCTCCCCCCAATTCCCCAGTTTAAAAAAAAAAAATTGGGGAATCACATGTTAAAACTTAATACATTTTCCCATGTAAGTGTTAACAGTTTCTATTCTACTTGATAAAAACAGTATGTTAAACTTGGTTTTGTGTCCCAGCCCAGAAACCTAGTCATAATTTATAACATTGTTTTTATGGGGAAAATGCATTTAGAATTTAATAACTTTCTGATCTCTTAATAAGTTTTGGAGGCTATCTTTGTTAGCCTTATCCAGTGCTTTACTTTTTGAAATTTGCTAGGTTTAGTGGAGTTGCATCCATAATTAAAACCTGTCATGTGTTAATCCATAAGGAATTACGCAACAGCCTCTGCATACCATTTTGGACAAATACCCATCTTTAGGAGTTGCCTAATCAAGAGTATTAGTGGTTGTTCATTTGATTTCATTCCTATGCTGATACTTTAGGAAAAAGAATAGTATCATATAAAAGTAACTCGCATATCACTACTTCAATTGATTTACACATATGTACTTATTCAAAATGACTCTTTAAGCTTTCTAACCGAAAATATAAGTATTAGAAAAATTTGTAAAATAGTTTTCAAATTGTGATCCTCAGTTCCAGATGTGTTTCTCAAAGGTGTCTGCAGGTGGCAGTAGCACCCCTTCCACTCTTCCTGATCAGCTTTTTGAATTCTTTTTTCTTTTTTCAATAAATGGTCATTTTAAAAGAAGAGAAAAAATTAACATAATAATGGGTAAAAACATTCACATGTTCTGCTATTTGTATAGTAAGACTTCTAGCATAGATTGAAATACTGAAATTTCCCTATCACTGCTGTATTTATTTTTCATCTTCAAATGCTCTTTGGTCTCCTGACAAATTGATCTCCCACTCTGGTTACTGTCATTTTTCTGATGTACTCTATCTAGTCTCACTCCTTTTAAGATATATTCTATATTCAAAAAATATGTTTTCTCTATTTCCCTTTCTTGGTTACCTCCCCACATCTTACTGTCTAAAACCAGGCTTGCTTTTTTCTTCTTTAATAATATTTGAAAACATATCAAGCCAAATTTGCCAGACTCATGAGCTTAGGCATGAGGACAATTTCAGATAGTTATTTTTGGTTTTGTTTTTCTATTAAAATTGGGGTAACACTAGTTAATAACATTATATAATTTTCAGGTATACAAGATTAATTCGGCTTCTGTGTACTCTTGTGTGGCCCCCACCCAAAGTCTAGTTTCCTTTCCTTATCATATATTTGATCCCCTTTACCCACTTCACCCTCCCCATCCCTTCTTACCCCTTCTGGCAACCACCATTCTGTTGTCTGTATCTATGAGTTTGTTTTTGTTTTGTTAGTTTTTTCCTTTTTGTTTTATATTCTACATAGGAGTGAAACTACTTTTTTTGTCCTTTTCCATCTGACTTATTTCACTTAGCATGACCTCAAGATCCATCTATGTTGTCACAAATGGCAATATTTCATTTTTATGGCTGAAAAGTATCCCATTTTATATATTTATTATGTGTATAGATGTGTATATATAATATATATCACACCTTCTTTATTTAATCACCCATCAGTGGACACTTAGGTTGTTTCCATGTCTTGGCTGTTGTAAACGATGCTGCAGTGAACATAGGGGTACATATATCTTTATGAATAAGCGAATAAGTGTTTTCATAATTTCAGGTAAATACCCAGAAGAGGGATTGCTGGATCATATGGTAATTCTATTGTTAATTTTTTGAGAAACCTCCATATTGCTTTCCATAGTGGTTACACTAATTTACATTCCTACAAATCGTGTATGAGGGTTCCCTTTTCTCCACATCCTCTCCAACACTTACTTCTTGTTTTTTTTATAAAATAGCCAGTCTAACTGGTATGAGGTGGCATCATTTGGGGTTTTGATGTGCCTTTCCCTAATAGCTAGTGAAATTGAACAGCTTTTCATACGTCTGTTGGCCATCTGCATATCTTGCTTGGAGAAATGTCTGCAATTTTTAATTGGATTGTTTTTTGTTGTTGAGTTGTGTGAGTTCTCTAAGTATTTTGGATATTAGCCCCTTCTCAGAAGTATTGTTTGTAAATGTCTTCTCCCATTTGGTAGGTTGCCTCTTTCTTTTTGCTGATGGTCTTTTTCAGTGCAGAAGCTTTTTGGTTTGATGTCGTTCTATTCATTTATATTTGCTTTTGCTTTTCTTGCTTTTAGGGTCAAGTTCAAAAAAACCCCTCTGAGACCAAGGTCTTTAAGTTTTAGTGCCTGTTTTCTTCTATTTGTTTTATTGTTTCAGGTCTTACATTCAAACTAATCCATTTTGAGTCAGTTTTTGTGTATGGTGTCAGATAGCAGACTAGTTTTATTCATTTGCCTGTGGTTGTCCAGTTTTCCTAACGCCATTTATTGAAGAGACTGTCTCTTCTCCATTGTTCATTCTTAGCTCCTTTGGCAAAAATTAGTTGTCCATATATGTGTGGGTTTATTTCTGGGCTCTTAATTTTATTTCATTGGTCTTTTGTCTATGTTTCTGCCAGTACCGTACTGTTGTGATTACTGTAGCTTTGTAGTATAGTTTTAAGACAGGGAGTGTACTTCCAGTTTTGTTCTTTTTCTCAGGATTTCTTGGCCAGATGGCTATTTTTGAAAGAAAAATTTAAGAGCCTAATTTAAGAGGAAAAAGAAAACTGTGGCTATGTGGAAAAGTTTAAAACTTGTGAAAAATAGTATCTGCAAACTGACATGGTTGTAAGTAAAGCTTGTGCTTGGTTTTTCCACAGAGGAGAATTGCTTTTAAAAATGAATAAGCCTCTCAAAGCAAAAGAAGCATATCTTAAAGCACTGGAGTTGGACAGAAATAATGCAGATCTTTGGTACAATTTGGCGATTGTTCACATTGAACTTAAAGAACCAAATGAAGCCCTAATAAACTTTAATCGTGCTTTAGAACTAAATCCAAAGCATAAGCTAGCATTATTCAATTCTGCTATATTAATGCAAGAATCAGGTATGTTTTCTCAAAATATTTCTATATTTAAACACATTGTAGTTTGAAATATAATAAAACCTTAACAAATTATATTACCCATAACATTTTGTAGATGGATAGTTTATATCAAAACTGTATAAATTATTTATAGGAATATTTAACATACTTAAACTAAACTTCTCAAGTAGCATTCACTGACGTATATGATGATGCTAATTGTTATTTCTTCTTGTATATGTTAAGACTGATTTTTTCAGGCAGTCTATTAAGCAATACCTTATTTACCTATTCTGTCATTTTATACATGGAAATATAATCTCTTATATATAAATAATACTGTTTAATATGAACTTACAAAAATTTTAGCAATTATTTCTAGGGATCCAAAAGCATCTGTTTTAGAAAAAATATTATTCTGTTTTTATCTTGATTTATAAGACCATTTGGTGTCATTTTATATCACTTTACTATTTTCTGAGATATTGTAATTTCCTATATTTTCTATAATTTATCAAAACTAAATTACTAATTACAATAAATCAGAATCTTTGATATATAGACATTTTAGTGCTAAGAAGGCAGTATATAGATTTATAATCTTAATTTTTATTGTTGGAAAGTCTGTATTTACATTTTATAGTTAGTTCTTAGATACTTTTTTGAAACTTTTGCAAAGAAATGAACGAATCATAAGATCATATTATTTTAGAGGTAAAGAGGACCATTGAGTTTACTTTTGCCAGTCTTCTTCTATTTAGTAGATTAGAGAGTGAGTACTAAATATTGGGTCGTCGGAAAAGTCATGACACATTTTTGCAACGAAAAACGTAGAAAAATACGTCATGACTTTTCCGACAACCCAATAGATCTAACAACTACCCCAACTTCGTATTTTCAGCTTAGTAACTAATGCAAGATAACTTAAGCCTACTGACTTATTTTTTTTAATTCATCGTATTGTCAAATAAAAGAATAGAGGGAAGTCTTTATGCCTAATATTTTTTAAAAAATATAAATTTAGAGAAGAGCTAATATTTTTGTAAAGTTAGCTGTCCTTAGTAATCATAAAAGATCCCCATTATCCAACCCTAGATTGTACCTTAAGGTTTGTAGTTATAGAGCTTGAATGTTTTGTATTTATTTGCAGTAGAAATTATTTTAAATATTTGTTTATTAAAGCCTAATTTATATTTATACTTATAAGCTTTATATTTAATGGTATACTTTTACCTTTGAAACGTCCTAAAGAATTTAGGACATACAAAAAAATCTTACTTAGTAAGACTGAAACATTTTGTTTATCCAATGTTAACGTCTGCTAAACATTTTTACATATATCTCATGTATTTCTTAGAAAACTCAATAAGTTAACCCAAAGAAATTAAATAACTTGTTCAATGTATAAAGTCACAATGTTAACAGAGTCAAGATTGAGTATATATGTCGTTTGTTGTTTTTTTAATTCTCTGTTCTTCCTCTGCTATTCCCAGTTAGCTTCTAAACTGTCAGGAGGTAGTTTGCCCCTTTGGCTTTTTGAAGCACTCTTAACTGTTTTAAAGTTTAGGAACTGAGCTATCATTTCAGTGTTTCAAACACACTATTTCTTCTGAAGACTTTGTGGTTTTCACAAATCAACATTGCTGTTGATTTAGGTACAATTAGTTGTTTTGATGCTGCCTTTTTGTAATCTAACTAGGTGGAATATGAAAGTGGCTTTTTTCCTCAGATTTAATTTATTCGCTAACAATATAAATTTTTTTCTTTAAAAAAATTATTCGTAGGTGAGGTTAAAGTCAGACCTGAAGCTAGAAAACGACTTCTAAGCTATGTAAATGAAGAGCCACAAGACGCTAATGGTTATTTCAACCTGGGAATGCTGGCCATGGATGACAAAAAGGACAGCGAAGCAGAGATGTGGATGAAGAAGGCCATAAAATTACAAGCTGACTTCAGAAGTGCTTTGTTTAATCTGGCTCTGCTGTATTCCCAGACTGCAAAGGAATTAATGGCTTTGCCAGTTTTGGAAGAGTTACTCAGATACTATCCTGATCATATTAAGGGTCTCATTTTAAAGGGAGACATTCTGATGAATCAAAAGAAAGATATACTTGGAGCAAAAAAATGTTTTGAAAAGATTTTGGAGATGGACCCAAGCAACGTGCAAGGGAAACACAATCTTTGTGTTGTTTATTTTGAAGAGAAGGATTTATTCAAAGCTGAAAGATGCCTGGTTGAAACATTGAGATTAGCACCACATGAAGAGTATATTCAGCGCCATTTGAATATAGTCAGGGATAAAATTTCTTCATCTAGTTTAATAGAACATCCAATATTCCCAGCTGCTAAGACTTCAGGTGGAAAAGGAGAAAAAAATCCAAGTGAAAATGTAAAAGAGGGCAGAAGCGAACCCAGACCCACACAGATAATAAAAACAAGTGATAATAAAAGTCAGTCTAAATCCAACAAACAGTTAGGAAAAAATACAGACAAAGAGATCCCCCACAAAACAACGAAAGAAATCAAAGAAATTGAGAAGAAAAGAGTTGCTGCTTTAAAAAGACTAGAAGAGATTGAGCGTATTTTAAATGGTGAATAGCGAGCGTTACTCTTTATCTTGCTACCGTGGTTTCAAAGAACTTCAGCCTGTATCATGTGACTTCTTATACTGGGAGCTTTGAAAAATAGCAAGGATTCATAAGTCTGTCATGAGCTGCCTCTACATAGGATCAAAATAAGATTTTTATTACAGCTCTATCTTACCCCAGGGTATGTATTATATAAGATACGGCTGTAGTTTTCTAAGTTTTGGTGAATGCAGCAGAAATATTAAATTATAGATGGGAAATTTATATGTTTTATTATAGAAGGAAGAGTCTTCTGGCAGAATAATCTTGACTACTCTCAAAAATAGTCCGAGGCCTGAATGATAATCCCTTGGGGGTAAATCCTACATTTGCTGTTTTATTCTGTGAATTCCCATTTATTAGTTGACTTCATTTTTCCTTTACCTGTTGGAATCTGGCTGTGGATTGAAAACATGTATTGAACACATTCTTTTTTCTTCAGTGACCTTCTGTTTAATCGATGGACTTTGTGCTACAAAAGAATACTGGCTTCATGTTGTATTCTTTTGCTGAGTTTTAGAAGGAATGCCAGATGAACATTTTAAAATAAGTCATGTGACATATGAATTTAAAAATGTATTTTCACAGGTGTGGGCTTGTCCTTCACTCTCAAATGCAGTTTTTAATGAGGTAAAGTTTTAAATGTATATACATACAACACATTTCTAATGGTGCTCATATATACTGTATTTTCATTTTTTTACATACTGAGAATTCCATAGCATGAATCACATAATCATGAATTGTCTTGACTTACACTCCCCAAACTATTCATGTTTCTTAGGGTCATAGTCATATTGAGAAGTCTCAATAGCAGTAAATATTTAAATTTTTGAGTTAAAACAGTAAGTTTATCTTTCATCTTAGTGTTCTTTTTCTAGTGTTATTTGAATTTTAATTTTGTTTCCAAAAACACACCTTAATCATTCTTTAGATACATTAAGCAACTAAATTGAGCTCTGTTTAACTGAAGGCAAACAAAGTGACAAAGTTTATTTTTAAACACTAAGTTCTTGATATTTTGTTATGGTGTATATTTTTATTAAATATTTATTTTGACTACTGAGCTTTCATAAAAATTTTAAAGCTGTTTTAATTTTATCAAGTATGGAAAACAAATTGCTGTTGCATTTTCCTATATGTGTATATATTACAGTTTAAGCAAAATTCCATCATTCTTGGGCTGCTGTCCAACTACAAAGATAATTAGCATAATATAGGATTAATAAATTGGTCTGTTGGTTTTAGTATATATAAACCTGAAAACTGTTAGGCTGAAGAATAGATACTAATCAAATTTATTAATTTAAATTAACTTTTTTTCTTGACTTAAAATGCATTTCAAATGCATTTCATGATGATAAAGTTTGTTTTGATTTAAAATGTTAAAGCTATCCTGGGATAGTAACAAATATCTAATTATGCAGTATTTCAGTGTTTTTTTTTTAGGTAACTAATTTCTAATTATGTATTACATATTCCTGTAACATTTTTAAAGAAATATTTTATAAATAGGTCACAGGAAACATGGGCTCCATTAAGGCCCACTCTGGCTAGGTTCCCTGAGGCACTCGCATAGATTTTGTTTGTTTGTTTGTTTTTTATTTTTATTTTTTAGGCAATTTAAAGTAAGCACTGACACTAGTGGTAGTTAATTCTTGATGTAGGAGACTCTGTTAATCATTAAAGCAATACCTAATTTCACTTATAAAATTATGGCTTTGTGACTCCAGATATAAGGTGGAAAATACCTCACATACTATGACTTGAAAAATGAAATCTATGGCATTCTTGTTCTTTTCGCATATCTTGAGAAAAAATTTCTGAGTGTGATCTCTTCTGTTATAGTAGCAAGTGAATATAGTTAAGAAAAGTAGAAGGAAATCTTCCTTCATGACAGCAGACCATGAAAAAAGCTTTGAGTAATATTTTAATAAAGTTATATAACTGTTCAAAAGATGAAAGATATATTAATGTTATCCAATGATTTTTATAGAAAAAAGAATTTCCTCCTAATTTATACTGAGGACAGTGCCTACCATGTAGGAAGTGCTCATATATTTGAATTTTAAATTATTTATTTAAATCTGTCCTGAGTCATTAATAATTTTTCCAAATCAATGTTTGTCAACCCTCACTTTATATTAGAATCATCTGGAGGGTTCTTAATATGGACCCCACCCCACAACAGTTAAATATGAATTTTTTTTAGGGGGGAGCCATTTTTAAGTTTTTCTAAAAGTTCTGAGTGATCCTAATGTGTGGTCAGGGTTATAACAATCACTGATCTAAATTAATTCAAGAAAACCTTCGTGTCTCTTCTGAATTAACTTTTTAAATGAGTAATATAACCGAATTAAGTTTTGATGTTTCAAGTTCCATTAAGGAATATGCTCTTCTGATAACTAGTACAGTAAGTCCTCACGTATAACATTGTCAATAGGTTCTTGGAAACTGTGACTTTAAGTGAAACGACGTATAATGAAACCAATAAGCTAGGTGATATAAAAAGAATTAGTTCTTAGAGCATATTTCTGGTTACTAAAACATCACCAAACTGCTAAAGACCTAAAACACTTTCATTAGTAAACATTGAAATAAATGTGAACTATGCTTACATTTAAGAAAAATTAATAAAAACAAGTAAGATGATTTTCCAGCATATCATTTTTAGTTCAGGGTGGAGGGGGCTTGAAGCCGCTCCTGGCAGCTTAGGGCACAGACAGGCACCCACCCTGGACAGGATCTCCTTCCATGGCAGGCACACTCACACCCACGCTCAGACGGGGACAGTTTAGACACACCAGTTATCCTCATGCGCATCCTTGGGATGTGGGAGAAAACCGAGCACCTGGGGAAAACCCAAGCATACATGGAGAGAATGGACAAACCACACACAGCAGCCCCAGCTGGGAGTCGATTTTTTTTTCTCATCAATGTTATGTTAGAAAAGACATTGAACGAAATGTTTCTTGAGGACCTGCTGTATTCCATCCTAAGTTTCATCAGGCTTACTTATGTGTAAGATGATTATTTCTCTTTAAACTCATAATAGAAATTTTATTCAAGCTGTTCACGTGAAAAAGGTAATAGCTTTTTTTTGGGGGGGGGCAACTGCCTTTTTGGGAAAATGGAGGGTAGGGACATTTTAGTTCAATACACTCACTTGTGGTGCAGAGTTGCGAGCATCTGTAAGTTTGGAAAAGAAAGTTTCTAGGTTTGTGGGCTAGTGACAATGTAGTTTTAGTTCTCACTGTTTGACAAAAGAAAGAGTACTCCTTTAAAGTTCTAGGAAAGCTTTGACAATCCCAACAGGCAGTTATGTTACTTCTTCATGGCTTCTCAGAAGGAAAAATTAAGTTTTTCTTATATTGCTTTGTATGTGTTTCTTTATGAACATTCAGAAATGGGAACTTTAGCTTATAATTAATTTTATGAGGTTGATGACTTGGAGGATAAAATGTGTTTGCAATTTTTGTTTACTTTTATGTAAATATTTGGTATGTGAATTACACAATTTTATTAAAACCTCATGGCTTTCATTACATCTAATTCGAGCTCAACTTCATGTTACAGAATGCTTCTTTAAAGATGCTTCACTGAAAAATCTGAAAATATAGATTTTTATGTCAATTTATACTTCAGAAGTCCATATATTTGTCATTTATTTTTTTAAAAATCTAACTATCTGCATGACTAATTAGTATTTAAAATGAATCCACCAAAATATCTGGTCCCTTTGTCCAAAATTTTATCGGCTAGAAGCTGTCAGCCATCTATGTTAAAGGTTCATAAGAAAGTCATTTCAAATTATATGCATTTTATATTACTGTGGTGTCTGTGTGTACCATATTTCTAAATATTCACTATTAAATTGATACTTTTTAAAGCCTTAACTTGAACTGTCTTTTAGTGTTAAAATGACAAAGACAATAGTGTATCAAGAGATTTCTGCCCCCACAAAGGAAGAGCTGGCAGATAGTTTTATTAGCAATCATCTAAGAAAAGTATGTGTTAAAGTAGTTCCTAACAGTGATACATTTTCAACCCTGAATGACAAAAACTAAAGAAAATGACATGGTTACGTCAAATGTTATACACAATTGGAAGTCAGTGTAGTAAAATAATTAGGAATTTAAGCTATGGATCTGCCTGGATTCAAATCTTGGTACCATGTTTGCTAGTATAACTTAAGGGAAGTTGTTTAAACTTTATGACCTCAGTTTCCTCATCTGCATGTTGGGGAAATACTTAAAGTCATAAAGATAAATATGTCTCCTAATGCAGGGGTCGGCAAACTGTAACTCGCAAGGTAAATGCGGCTCTTTGGTTCCATCTCAAAAGTTTGCCGACCCCTGGAAGAGCCAATCCTGTCTCTAACAACAATTTAAAAATTATTCGAGAGCCATAAAT